TGGTTACTGATATTCTTAATTGTTCATACTTGGAGGCTCGTCTGCCCCAGTCCTGGAAGCTCGCCAACGTTACCCCTGTTCCTCAGCAGACCCCTGTTTATGACGTTAACAAACACTTGAGACCACTTTCACTTACACCTGTCCTTTCCAAGTTGGCTGAGGACTTTGTGGTTGATCGCTATGTTAAACCAGCTGTACTCGCTAAGGTCGACCCTCGGCAGTTTGGCACTGTTCCCGGTTCAAGTACCACCGAAGCCCTAATTAGTATGACTCATGCCTCGTGCAGTGCTACTGACGGTAACGGGGCGTCTGTGAGGGTGACTCCCTTTGATTTTTAAAAAGCTTTTGACCTCATCGACCACCGGATTTTGGTCAGGAAGCTGGGTACATATAACATCCCTGAAGCTGTCATCTCATGGATGACCGACTTTCTCACCTCACGCAAACAGCGTGTTAAACTCGGCCACGACTGCTTTTCAGGATGGCGCGCGGTCCCAGCGGGCGCTCCTCAAAGTACAAAACTAGGGCCGTGGCTGTTTATCATCATGATCAACGAGCTGGATGTTCCTGGCACTGATCTCTGGAAGTATGTCGATGATACCACTATTTCGGAGACGATAAGCAAGAACCAAGACAGTCACATTCAAGCTGCTGTTGACACCTTAGCAAGCCGTGCGACCGAGGATAAGTTTCAACTAAACGAGACGAAATGCAAAGAATTGCTTATAAACTTTAACACTAACAACCCTACTTCTTTCGATCCAGTTGTTGTTAATGGCATGCCTATTGATTTAGTTACTAGTGCCAAATTACTAGGCCTTAACATCTCCAATGATTTGAAATGGAATTGTCACATTGACTCCATTATTAAGAAAGCTAAAAAGCGCTTGTATAGCTTAACTCAGCTTAAACTGTCTGGTCTTGGTACCCGTGAGTTAGTCCAGTTTTTCCGCACTTGTATTCGTCCGATCACAGAGTACGCGTGTCCTGTCTTTCATGACGGCCTACCTCTCCAACGAACTTGAAGGAGTACAAAAGCGGGCTATGCGGATTATTTTTCCTCTTTGCTCATATAATGAGGCCTTGGTTGAATCAGGCCTAACTAAACTTTCAGACCGCCGCCAAGAACTAGTTGATAAACTATTTAAGAATATTTTACACAACGAACAGAACAAGCTCCGTGAACTTCTTCCTGCTCGCAACACATGTACCTTTAACCTAAGAAATATACGGAAGTTTAAAGGGACAGTGTCCCGATTATGCGCACGCGCGAGCGTCATCTGTTTTTTCTTCAAAAGACAATAGAACTGTCAAATTGACTCGACAAGATTTCCTTCCGGACCGCATCGCCGACAGAGATTTGTTGTTTATATTCTCAAGTAATATTTTAGACTTTCGAAGACGTCTTTCGTCTTATATAAAAATTTGGCTCGCGGTTCGAAGACTCATCGCGATTTTATCGCTAGCTGGGCCGCCTCGCGACCGAAAATCTCGTTCCGCTCGCTTTAAAAACATATTTTCTAATTTGAAACTCGTGTCAGAGGTCAATCGCTCCAAGTCCAGTAATATCTGCCTGATTTGCTCGCGTTCTAGCCTCAAACGTTTGAAAGACATAAATAAAAATGCAATCTCAACGCTATGAATCATCACAAAGGTTAGTCAAAAATGATATTATGATTCACGTCACTAGTTTTTCAAAACGTGTAGCGTCTGTTTGTTCGATTTTGTCGGCCGTAGGGAGATTCATTTAAAAGTTTACTAACGCGTCGTTGCAAAACATTCTGCTTCACGAAGCTCCCCTCCACAAGATCTCCTCAGTCACATCAATGTCTCAACGGTTTCTTTCTTACAGTCTTTATTGTTGCTGTTTCATTTCTGCGTATTCCTTTTACAATCATCTGAGCTTGTATGGAAGCTAGCAGAAGAAATAGGCCTTCAATCGGTCGGAAATCGGCATCAAAGTGTTTCCAATCTTTTGGTCCTCCTTTTGGTAACGCCAAAAAATCCAGATTTTGCCGAAATCGAAACTTAACAGGAACAATATATCATTGATCTATAATCCTGAGAAGTTTTAGTGTCGTATTGAACTCGGCCAAGTGCGATGCAAACGGATTTTTCAAGATTTTCTTACTCTCCTCGCATCTTTTGATTTCGCGACATCCTGTCCAAAAATCAAAGTTTGGTGCATGCGCAGTAACGGGATACTGTTCCTTTAAGCCAGCTTTTAAGACGAACACGTTTCGTAGTAGTTTTATTACCTTTAACGCCCTTAAGGCTTGAACAGTTTTAGTACATTTTTTAAACCTCTTCTATATATATATATATATTTTTAGCACATATATATAGTGTCCTTGTTAGCTGTTTTAAATCACTTGTAGTCTTTTTGATGTAATAATCAATATTCAATTTTTTGTAAATAATCGTATAATTCAACTTTTAGTTGCAAATCGGTTATTAATAAACTATCTATCTATCTATCTATCTATCTATCTATCTATCTATCTATCTATCTATCTATCTATCTATCTATCTATCTATCGATTCGGTGACTTTCATTTTAACGGCTTCGTCTCTTCAAACGTACGTTACGTTACGTCACGTGCAGTCACGGAACAAATTGTCACGTACAGTCGCCGTCTGGTAGGGTTCAGCGTTTCAAAATGGCTAAAATTGACCCAGTTTCACCTTTTCACCCCACTCTTTGATTGGAAAAAGAAATTTTGCAAAGGGAAAAGCTACAAGAAGTACAAAAAAACGAGCCTTAGGCTGTAAATATCTACTTTTGTGCGTTTCGAGATTCGAAGTGTTCACACAATTACCGCCGGCCTACCATGAAAATTCCTGAACTTCAATGGTGTCTTACGGAGATTACATTCAATAACCCAAGCCAATTCCCAGGTATGTTTTAAATGAATGTCTAAATGTGTGATTTAAATAGCATTAAGAGAATTTGGAGTTATACCACATGTTAAATATTGCCGTCGAAAATGAGTAACGAACTTAAGTTTTTGTTATCCTGAAAACCTATCCCTCATTTTTGAATTATTTCAGTACGACGAGCTTCGCTATTGCCCTGAAAGTATCTTTTAGTGGAAGAAAAAGAATTTTTCTGTTCATGGAAAGAGTCCAAATTTCTCCATGCGGCTTCGTTTGCGAACGCGAGGAAGTTAATGTTAGTGAATTTCAGGTTAAAAATTAGGGCAGTCTGAGACTCCGACATCGAAATCCCACCTTCTAGGAACAATCTACTTTAGGTTTCTTGTCTACCTAAAAGCTATCTATGAGCAAAAAATGAAACAAATTGATTTTGCAACTCTTGCCACGAAATTAAGATTTTGGTCGATTTTTCCTGACCGGCGCTCTTAATATATGTAATAAGAGTACGTGGGGCAGCTAACTAGCTAGTTTCGAATTATCAAAATTCATACTGGGCTCCAAGGCTGATCAGGAAAAAAAAAACAAAAGACAGTAATTATTCACCCCTGAATCTTAATGTGATTTTAATAATTAGAAAAATATTAACATTTTAACAATTGCATTTTAATAACCTGAAACTTGCCAGTTAGGTGTGTTAACGAGGTACTTAATTATTGATGTTTTGATAATTTAAAGAACTGGAATGGTGTAATAAAGAAACGTGTGGCCGCAAATTCTCAAATAGAAACCTCCAACTGCATTCAAGTTAAAGAGGGGGTTATGCAAAAATGACTATGCTCATAGTCATAATATAATACGACAGCAGCAGGCCACGCTAACCAAAGCTGAAAAAGATATCTTTCTGAAGCGGAATATTGAATTTTTTAATCTAGGGTTGATTTAGGAAAGATTAGTATCAGAATGGTATATTCGTTAATGGGCTAATTTTATCCGGACAAAACATTTAATAGTCGCTAGTTGTCGCGCAGCAATTTACTCATGCATGTTGGTAACGTCGCGAAAGAGCTATACGAAATATGTTACCAGCGCACACCACATTAACTTTGTTTAACAATGCCTGCTCGGCCTTGATAACAATATTGCTTACTCATTCCTAAATCCAGGATTTTTCAAAAATGAAATAGTAACTCACTAAGAAACTTGGAAAATTGATCGTAGCATAAATCCTCTATGTCAAATCATTTGAGGCCGGTTGTCTACGATTTAATAGTTTCTAGTATAGAGTTTGGCCTTAAACCATAAACTCAATACGACAAGACTGTCGCAGTTCTATGGTCAGGAACTAGAAACGCTTATCGCAACAAATCTAACCATTCAGTGTTGCGAACTAGTAAGCAAGTTCAGCCTAAAAAGATTTGCACGATTGTTTCTTGTTTAGCCATGGTATGCTCATATTGGAAGCGTAAATACGAAAAATAGAGTTCACTTCCTTGTTTGAACTCAGTGGCTTCGCATTCGTTGTAACTTAAATATGAAGTTTCTGCTTCCCTGTAATCTGATGTAGCATAGGTTATGCACATTAACTTGCCTTTGGGTCAAAGATATCTACTCTTACCTCCAAATCGTAGAAATCTTGGTAACTCTTGATAGTTTAAGCCTAAGAGGCTGCGCGTAAGCTTTTCTAGCGTGATATCGAGTAGCCTGAGTATCAGGCGTTTCTGGGGGAAAAGGGGAAAGATGGATAAGCGAAAAAGGGAGAGAACTGAAGGAGAGAAAAGCCTGACACAGATGCTTTTACTGGAACCTTCCACCCCTACACAGCATGATTCGATGTCATCCAATCAAAATCACTTCCGGTCATTGGGTTGTCAGCTTCACGTGTCAAAAAGCTCGCCTAAAATAAATCTCACCTTACGGTCTGGCCGAACTCCGGTACTTGTGTTGCTACGATTTCGCTTTTTTCTGAAACCTCCAATGAGGAGTTTTCGAATACTTGTAATAGAAAACCTGCCGTTTTTGAGGAATTATAATATGTTTTAGGAATTGTGCTAGAGTAAGATCGCCAACGCTCTGTTTGTAATTATAAATAAATGTGCGCTCGGAAAATTGTAAATTCCTTTTGTTTACAGACTTACAACGTAACAGGCGCAGGTTCCTGAGAGTCTGGCAGCTAAAAAGCTGATGTTGATAAGGCCGAGAATCGTCCGAGGGAAAGCGAAATATGATGATTTCCGCTTGAGCTTAAGACATTTCAAAAGTGAAAAAATTTTGGAAAAGGAAGCGACCGAAATTCCAATCACTTACGCTATCGTAACCGGCACAAGAACAGTCAAGCTAAAGCCTTGGTGCTGTCGGCTATTCTCAATACATGGCTTCCTTGCTCTAATTTTATTTACAGTAACAAATACCCTTTTAACTGCAGTATGTTGTAAATCAGAACTTAGATATCTGAAGCACTGATATTGTCTTCTTTGTCCCGGTCCTACGACATAGTTTCGGCAGAAGCTGGTATATGAGGCTTTTCCATACACCGAGGACATCTTTCCTTTTAACTACGAGGCTTTGAGAACACAATTCTTGCTCGGGTTTTTTTTTTATTCCAGGAAAGAACTTGAGAGCGCCCTTTAGAGCCTTTTTGAATTCCTCACTGCGTCTCTGTCCATAAAAATAATTACCACACGAAATCAAAAATTCAATAGCTTCTCCTTGCCGATCGCTCTGCTCGTATTTACTTGCGGTCGGTGACGTCAGGGGTTATTGTGTGTTATCCAATCACTGCCACATCCAGATTTTGGATGTGTCCCACGATTTGCTGATTGGTTTTTTGTCAGGCCTTCCTTTCTCTTCTCCCCCTCCCCCTCCCCCACCTGAAATCTCCTCTCCCCTACCCCCTTAGGAAAGTGGAAGGCCTGATACTCAGGCTAGTTATCGAGCAGACTTTTAATGCCAAAATAACTCCCCACCCATCGGCTTTTTAAGTCCACAGGGAAGAAGACAGTTTTCTTTGTCGTTGTTTATTCAGTCATTATATCCAAAGATGACAATCTGACAATATGACGGAAAAAGCAAAATATAAATCTTTGATTAAAAACACAAATAGATTCGAAGGGAAGGTTTTAGTAATTAACCCAATCTTAATTTCTGCCGGCCACAGCTGCTTGTACAACTGTTGCTAGATTTGACTACCTTGACTTCAGGAGCTTATTAGACTAAATACCCCTTATGAGTTACTGACTATGTACAAAGAACAGCCTTGATTGCTCTTTCTCTTTTTGTTTACATTTCTATAGAATAGCTGCCATCAGTGGTGGCCGTTTTCAATTGCGATCTATTAATAGACTAACTGAAGCATAAAAAAAAAAAGAGCTATTGAAGTAATGTCAAATAACAAGTCAACCATACCAAATACCGTGGTTGTGAGTATCATTTTCACTAGCACTCATAACTCCTACAAGCAGTTGAATTATTACTTTAATCGACAAACAACATAATTTTCATACCAATCATAATTTTCTCACTAACCAACTCAAATATTCACTGGTATGTTTTGCTTTACAACTAAGAAACCCCTCAGTGTCTTCTGATCTGTGGGGTGGAAATGATGGTATTAAGGACATTAAGAGCGGATGTCAGTAAATATCAACCAGAGGTCTGCAAAAGTGGAAAATCGCAAACTCTCAAAAAAATTCACAAAGTAGCTCTAGGTAAGCTGTTAACATTAATAAAATTTTTACTTCGATCCGATAATTATTTTAGACGCACGGGGGGGTTATCTGTTTCGAGGCTCTCGGATTGGGTTTTACAGGCCTGAGAAAATTAAATCAATCATAATGCGAACAGCAAATAACTTATTCAGAGAAGTACATAATTATACACATTTTAAGGGGTGATTTACTCAGCTTCAACGAAAATGTAATATTTTTAGAGATTTTTCATTATTTTCAATATTTTGAACGTTTCCGTTTGATGAAAAAATGGGAAATTTCAAAGCCCAAAATCGTCGACTGGTACCTCGGTTTCAGTAAAGAGTCTTATACCACGTTAAAGAGCGTTATCTTTTCTTTCAAAATCTATTTTCAAAACTATGGGCAACTTAAAAGAAAATTTTTGAGGCCCAAAAATACAAGTAGTACTTTTCTGAAATTTAAGCTTTCCTCGCTCAGCGGGGCGGTGCAAAAAACTCAGAAAAATACTATAAGAAATCAGTTTGAGCAACAGTGGTTTAATGTTATCAGCTTTCAGAAACCAAGACGTGTTTATCCAGCGATCTGATATAATTTAAAACCGTTGGCTGACATGAAAGGCAGATTTAAGCTGTCAACTCCTGCCAAGTGCACCAGTCATGTAAGGTTGTCAAAGGGCAAAGCACTATACTGCAAACCAGATAAACTCTAAAAATCACAACGTTTTTTGCGTCCAGGAATTGGATTTTACCGAACAGAACAATGCTTATGAGTGTACGTTTCATACCTTAGCATTGGTTTCCTAGATATTGGAACTAAAAAACATCAAGGGCAGCATCGGCAAGAGAATCTTTGACTGCTCTCAAAGGTCGACGGAGATTGCGTTACTTCTCACGGATTAACCGTTCACCACCTGTTTTTGGCCTCGTATTTCCAGGCAACACTTACGACTGGCATGGCGCGCGGCACTGGTAATTTATGATCAAGTTCTGAACTCTTCTTCACGAGACATTTACCTGAATTTATCGGAAATATGCCAACACCAACAACAACGCGTACATTTGTCGGATATTTGTCGTTTTTCGAGGAAAAGTTCGGGTAAGCAGATTCACGCAAAAACGATTTGGCTCAAAAAATGTTTTAAAGCCTACCCTCATGAAGCAACAAGTATTTCCTCGAAATAAGCGAAAAAATTAAGAAAAAACAAAAAAACAAAAAAAAAAACAATTCACGCAGTGAATAAATGGGTGAAACAGGATTAATAGTTAGCAAATTCTTGCCTAACCTGAGGGATTTCCCGATTTGTAGGATGGACCCGAAGAGGGACACCTACCACGTTTCAAAGTGACACTGGTTTAGACAACCCTGCACGTATCTTAAGTGGGATGTGAACCTCCCGTACAAATAACACGTTTCATTTGAAGTAAGATGCGACTTAGCTATGACGCGTCCTTCTTGGAAAAATCTTGTTTAGTCCCGCAAAAAATTCTGATTTTTGTAGCTAAGTTGGAGCGCTTCCTGTATTCTTCGGTCCTTTTTCGGTATGTTTTATCGTCAATGACGTCCTGCTCATAACCAACTGTCTGTCAATCTTTTTCTGATTTTCACAATTTTTTTTTTCACTGTGTAGTTCAAAAATAACATTGTGTTTTTTGCAGCAAATAAGAGTTTTCGTATGTAGAAATAAGATTCTCATCAAACGTTTAACTTAATGTTGCCTCTGTGATAAATGTCAGCATGCCGGTGTTGTTGTTTACTGACAATCTCACTCAAAAATTAGTCCTTTACCAGCCGGATTATATGACGCAAACTATGTTTGTATACCAGCTTCTAACCATGGGCGTAGCGGGAGTTTTTGAAGGTGTACACATACACGGACAAAGGTTGGACCTACGAATTCCGAAGGTACTGCAAACTAGGGGGATCTGCAGCTCAGAAATGCTATATCCTTTGTTTTCCACAGGGTATTTTCAGTTAATAAATAAATACAAAGGAAAATGCAAATATTGGTTGTTTAATTTTTTTTTCTCTTAAAACGTGTTATCGGTAAAGTGCTGAATGTTTACGGGAAAAAAATTAAAACAGCGACGCCATCAAGGAGGTTTCAAGCAAAAGGGCGAGATATGTCTAACCTTCAGACGGGTAAAGACACCAATATAATGCGAAAGATTTATCAATCATTCCGATTTTATGATAATAATGCTTTCTGGAAATAAAAAATATACATTTCCAGATTTCAGCTGTACGCACGGGCGTAATGTGCGTATAAAAGACGCTACACCCCTGCTAACTTAAGACCCACTCTTATAAATGGGACTTTAAGTGTCTTATTTAAGAAGCGTTGTTAATCTGTTTTGTGTGTGATCTCAGAGTATTTTTTGTTTGTTTGTTTTTACACCGTTTCATAAAAAGTTTCTAAGGTTCATTTCTGGCGACGTTTCTCGAAACTCGTTATCAACACTGTCAGCACTGGCCATTCCTGGGAGTTGGTAGTGTGTCTTTCCTTGCTGAAGAGGCTGAAAACTGAACTCTGTAAATAACAAAATACACCTTCCCTGCATACCTTAAAGCATCGAGGAGCTTTAAGTTTTGTTATTTTCGCCAGCAGTTTTCAATTATTACACAAACATTATATTGCGTACCGGATTACTCGTGGCAGAGGCCCATAACCAGCTCCTGTGGTTGTGAATTTCTTCAAGGCCGAAAATTTTAGTAAGAATCGAAAACAACAGCTAAAAGGAGGCACACAGTTTGAACTAAACAAGGAAAGAGGCTTCTGATTTTCTAAAATGTCATTGATGCACAGTTCAATTACACTTGTTACTACCCCTCGGGCAACCACAGGGACAATTCCAGCCCTTCGGGCCCGGGGGTGGGGAGTTGTTTGAAGTGGTCATGTCCCGGACTTTCGGGGGTGGGTGGTGAGGCAAATCGAAAATAACTTCTCTTTAAGTTTGTTTTTGTGAAGTACATCATTTCCCGCGCGGTTGACAAGATGGCGGCGGACTCCGTAGCTGTGGAAAGGTCCTTGTGAAACATGTCCAGGCAACATACAGGGCATCACGTAATTGACTTCAGACAACGCGCGAGTGAATCGGAGCGCAGAAACGAGCCCTAAGCCAACCCCATTGCCAAAACGTTCACTAAACCCCCGCGCTTTTTATTTTTGTACAAGAACAGAACGGGTAAATTCTTACCTTTCATTTGATTTCCATGCCAGTTTACAAATAAGAACGTGGGTTCCCTTTAGTGGAGCTTAAAAACAACGAGACATAGCTGTGTAGCAGGCGCTCCGAAGTAGGGCTCGATAAAGAACGGGCGCGCAAGGAGATATGCGTGTCTCTCTAAACAAGACAGTCACCAAATCGAAACAAACTCAATATGGCAGAAAATACAGTGGTCGATTTCATAGAAAAAGGGATACACCACCGAACCTCTTA